GCTCAGGGTGGTCAACCCCATGCTCTGGCCAAACACCAGAGGGTCCACCCAGTCCCTCTCACAAGAGTTCAGGAGGTCTTCAATTCTGGTGACACCAGCCAGGACCATCCTCTGGTGCACCAAGGGGGACTATGCCACCTGAGGTCTTCCCCCTTGGTGATTGCTATGTACCAGGTTGCTGAAAATAACTCCCAGGTCCTGCTTGGACCAGCAGCTAGGACAAGTCTCAAGGGAGACTTCTTGGATGGATATAAAAGAGCTTCCAGTCATACCAGAGCCCTCAGAAGCGGCGGAGGAACGCGTGCACCAGCACACCTCATGCCAGACTACGAGCACCATAAAGGAGTCTCTGCAGAGCTTGAAGGTGGAACATGTGGGCCTGGCTGAGGATGAAAACTAGGCCTTGCCTGCCCTCTCCCAATGGGAGGCTCAGACACCCAGTGCTTTCCCGGCAGGCTCAGGTGTTAAACAGGTGCCAGAGCATGGATAGAATTAGTTAGTTGGTCAGCATTGCCCTCTCCTGAAGTGAAAGGCTCTGGAGCAGCCCCATCCATGTCCACAGCTGGTCAGACACCCTAGCCTCCAGGTCAATCCAGTTCTCCAGTGCAGGAAGATTGATGTGTCAGGCAGGGGATTCCCAGAGTTGGGAAAGGGTCACAGGTACCAGCCATGTGCCTCTGTATAAACACCAGCCATCCCTCCTACGGGGTCCGAGTCACAACACTTAACAATAGAAAAACACTTTTATCTTAGCTGGGCAAAGCCAGGAATACCATCTCCACCTGGCTAGGCTCTGTAGCAGGAGTTACAGACTCCCTTGCCTTTGGCACAGCATACAGCACAGAGCCCTCCCTCATGTCTGGCTAGACACACACAGACTCTCTGTCCTGTACCCATGCAACACCCTGAACACCACCTGGTTGGGTCAGTCCAACCTGTCCATGCACTCTGATGCTAGCATGTGCTCTGAGCTCAGAATGGTGGGTCTTGCTGTGTGGGCTCAGCTGTCCTGTTGGCTCCAAGCTGTGTTTCTGTAGGAGTCCCCTTTTGCAAACACCAGTGCAGCATCTGGCTTTCCTCAAAGCAGCTCCTGCTTCAGACTCTATCTCCCCAGTTCAAGGCTGCTGCTCCTACTGCTGCTCAGCTCTTCCTTTCTTCTCTCTCTAAATTTTCCTGGGCTTGTTCCTTATCCTACCCCTTGTCTGTTCCTTGGCTCTAACCCTCCCAGGTGGTCTGTAGTGAATTCTGTGTCATTTCGGACAGGCACCCATCCCCCAGCCAATCAGGTTTGCACAGCATAGCGGGGAGGGGAAGGGGAAGGGGAAAGGGCTCTCTACCCAGTCCCACAAGTGGCAGAGAGGTTAAACACAGAGATAGAGCAGCAGAGCTTCTCCCCACGGGTTGGCATGGAGCGCAGGTGAGAACGAGCCACCTGCCACATGTCCCTGACTATCAGGTCACGGGAGTTGACCTGAGCAGAGGAGGCTGCTGAATCAATGCCTGAACAAGCTTCCACCTTTACCAGGTCTCCCAGGTCCTGCGCCACAAGGAGTAAGTCATCAGCATGCACCAACACAACCATCCATGGGTCCAACTTGTGGAGGTGGAGAAGGTCCTGGAGCAGCTAAAGGTTGCTGAGGATGGTCTGGCTCTGGACAATGTAGGTCTGGTCAGGGTTGATCACGTTCACCAGCATGGATATCAGCTGCAGCGAGATGGCCTTTGCTATGACCTTATACTCCGTGCTGAGCAGGGAAACTGGGTGCCAATTCTTCAGATCATGGAGGTCCCCATTCTTCTGCAGCAGAGCAAACATGGCCCTCCTTCATGACAGGGGGAGCACCTTGCTCCCCAGGGACTTGGCCCAGATGATAGCAAGGTCCAGGCCAAGGACGTCTCAGAACATTCAGTAGAACTCCATGGTCAGCCTGTCGATGGTTGGAGACTGGTTTATGGGCATCACAGGGAGGGTTTCTGAACACTTGGCCAGAGTGAGAGGAAGCATCAGCTGGTTCTGGTTGCCTACACTGACCAGAGGGAGTTCATCCAACAGGACCCTGCATGCGTGAGCATTGGTTGGAACCAGGGAGAAGGTTGGTGTAGAAAGCCTTTGCCCTTCCCTGCATCTCCACCAGATCCATGAGAGGGGTGTTGTCCTCCTCCAGGTGGCTGGTGACACCCCTCTTCTCCAGTCACAGATGAAGCATGAGCTGCAATCCATCTCTCAAAGGAGCTAGGAACTTGACCAAACAAAAGTGCCTTGGGCCTGTTGTTGATGGCCTAGACCTTATCCTGCTTTTCCTGACACTCCCTGCAGAGCTATGGATCCCTGGGGCAAACAGTCATGCACCAATCCAGCTCCAAAATCTCCCTCTCTGACTGCTCTATTATCCTATCCCTCATTTAACTGGCCACCAGGGTGTAGACATGATGGAAAAGCCCAACGTGCACCTTCCCCATGTCTCACCACCTCAGTGCTGAGGAAAAGGCATTCCCCTGCCCCTTCCCCCATCAGCCAGAACTCCCAGAAGGAAGCTATAAAGTCTACCCCTCCAGCAGGATCTTGTTAAAATGCTAGTAGGCGAGCACTGGCCACTCAAGTGTTAAAACAACCATCACAGCCACCATGTGGTGACTCGAGAATGGGGCTGTCCAGAGGAGTTGGCCTGCAAGATGGTAAAACAGGAGACATAGATACGGTCCAAGCAGGAGTGCCATGAATGAGACTCCTCCACCTGGACACAGGTCACAGTGGTGGAATCATCCAGGCAGTGATTGTGCCAGACTTCGACCAGGGAAGGATGGTCGATGATCTGCCTGAGGGTGTCTGTGGGGGCCTGACAAGTCTATCTGCCAGTGAGGATGCACGCGTCAAGGATAGTGTTAAAGTCCCTACCCAGGATTGAGGATCAGATGCTACACCTGGATGCAGTGATCCAGCAGGTGAGCTGGCAAAATTTTGATGAAAACAGGGTCACCATCCATCCCAAAAACTCAGTGATCTGTCTGGTATACACCCTGCACCCCCATTCCAGCTACCAGCTGGCTTTGACAGCTGATTCGGATTGAGACTCCTGCAGGAAGATCAAAGAGTATCCACCCCCTTTGCAAAGGTAGGACAGTACCTGGCACCTGTGGAGACTCACACTACAGCCCCTGATGTTGAGAGTGTGATGGTGTAGATCTCATTACCGGAGCTGAAGATCCTCACAGCTGGTGGTGCTGCCTGTACCCTCAGAACCACACAGCAACCTGTGCTCGATCCCAAAGGTGACTAGGGAGTCATGGAAGTTGCAGGCCCACTGGTAGGCTGCAGAGCACTGCCCTTTGCTCCCTTCATCCTCCCCCAATAAGACTGTCACACTGTGGAAGACAAGATCAAAATCCTCCCAATGCTAGAGAGTGAGCTGCTCCTTCCTCCTGGATCCTTGTGAGTCTTTCAGGAACAATTACAGCTTGTCCCGTGGCAGGTTAGGAGCTGAGAAGTCTGCAGAATCACCAAGTCCACAGACACCCCATTGCCCTCCAGCAGCACTGGGGAAGGGATGTCAGCGGGACGGGGAGCCGCAGCTGATAGCCGGGCTGCAGCAATTGCAGCCAACACCACAGCGGCAGGAGCCTTCTGGGCAGGGCTCTTTCCCTCTTTTCTGCCCTGGCCCTTCTTCCTGACTGAGGGGCTCCCTGGGTGGTGGTGGGTTTGGCAGCAGAGTCCCTGGCTGTGCCTTCTGCTGCTGCCCCAGAGGGAGTGACGATGGTGGTGACAGAGGTGTTGATGGTAGCCGTAGGGGCAGAAAGGGGAGAGAGCCTAGGGGGTGTGTGAACAGTGGTTGGGGATTCCCCTCCCTCAGTCCCAGGCTTCCCGCCATGGACCAAGACACCACAGTAGAAGCCTTGCCCAAGGCTGGGGCGGGCTCTCCCATTGAGGACAGGTGACAGGAAAAGCCACTTGAGAGGGATATATAAGGAAGGGGCTGGGGGAAAGCTAATATCTTCTCCCCACTAGATCACAGAAGCGTAAGAAGGGAGCAAAGTTTAAGTGGGGAATTAATCCAATAAATGAAGAGCTGAGGGGGATTGTTCTAAACAGTATGTGTGGTGGGGTCTGCTTCTCCAGTCGCACTGGAAGTGAAGGGGTATGTGGGCGGCGGGGGGGGTGGGGAATACAGTTGAGTAGAAATCAAACAAAATGAGGGGAAAACACAGGCACACATGAGTGTGGGCAAGTGGGGCTGGGTGGGGCAAAGGGCAACAAGTAGCGAGGGGTCTGGCTGGGAAGGGCAGGGGAAACAGGCAACACAACATGGGAGAAAGTGGATCACAAGGTGGACCACATGAGAGAGGGGCAGCGAACCGCAAGGGGGACGTTGTGTGTGTGTGGAGCGGGGAGTGGAAGGGACTGCTGGGCAGGCAGAGGAAAGAGAAGGAGGCCCACCAGTCCTCTAATGCAAACTGAGGGGAGAAAGGAGAGGGAAGTCTGAGGGGGGGACATGCACCACAATGCACTTGCAAAGAAGAAAGGCAATGATTCCACAGCAGCTCCAGAGCAGGTGGAAGTCGGCAGGAAGGCGGATGGACAGCAGGAGAGGTATGGGGGAGGAGGGAGAGCTCCACACCACTTCTCCCCACCCCCAGCCCCAGCAGCAACAAGAATTCCCTGCCCAGACTATATCAAAATGCACACATAGAAAGGAGCTAAATTAAGGTTGCCTAGGCAGCCTAAAGCTTGGCAGTTCCTAACTTTTGGGTGCTTAATCTTGCATCCTTAATATTCTCTTGACATATGGGGGTTTCATATCGTTAATTATATGTTAAGGGGATGCAACTTTCACTTGGCATCGTTTTATGATTATTTCAGTCAAAATAAGTAGATAACATTATTCCTAGCCACTGTTTCTGAATTAAGAATCCCTTTGGAGATACACATGGGTCTTAGTGAGGGGAGATGCAGAGAATGGGGCATACACAAGTCATTTTACTCTGTATATATCTGTCTCCTGCAGGCTGTGCGATTGTGGTCTCAATGCTGCATGTTGTGGGGATCTCTCCTCTGTTCTCTGCGCCAGCCAGACCCTGACATACCTAGATCTAAGGCGGAACAAACTGGAGTATTCAGGAATGCGGCAGCTGTGTGAGGGGCTGAAACATCCAAACTGCAAACTGCAGAGACTGGGGTAAGTAACAGCTGGGTCCCTTTAGTGTGTGCCTGGTATCACTGTAATATTATTAGTTAAACTCAGTGTACCATGACCACAATAGCCTACAGTGCACGTAGTTGGCTCAGGCTTCAGCCCCTGTTGAGCAGGGAAAGCAGCTGGGCAGCTGCCCTAAAGGGACAGCCAAGGATCCCCCTGACTCAGGGCAATCCTCAGGTCGTAGAAAGCAAGTACAGCTAACTCTGTATCACTCACTCCCCACATCGCCCTGCCTCCATGTAGGGGGTGTGGAGGAGCATGGAGGTTATGTTCAGGGCAGAGTGCATGGTGCTCCACCTATCCTAGGCTGGCACAGCATAGGGGATAACTTAGGGCAGACGCAGCCCTGAGGTTCCTCTGTGTTAGACCAGAGGCCGTACTGTCTCTCACCTGGCCCAGGATCAGGGGAGTGCAGAGGTGGCTTATAACCAGTTTCTCCAGTCTCTTCATTAGCGCTGAGTGTGAACTTCGTGCAGTTGAGGACAGAGTCTGGTGGATTTTAGCAAATCCCAGATGCAGCATATTTTGATGTCACAGACAGAATTATTTTAAGACAAAAGAAATCCCCAACAACCCAGTATTGCCAACATGAAGACATGAAAAATTATGAGTTAGACCCCACCAAAATCATGTGATTGTAAAAACAATCTGTGTCTTTTAAGTCTTTTTTCTTTTTAACTCCACTCTACTCCTTTGCCAACGTTTGTGAGATAATATCAGGTTGAAAAATCAGTCCGTCTTTAGTGTACACAGAAATTCATGCCTCTCCCTGGCTGTTCAGATGGAGACTGCATTTAATTTCTCCTCATCCATAACGCAGAGGAACTTCGATCCCTTTCCAATCACTGTCTTGACTTTCTCCCCTCCATGTTTATTTCTTTGGATAAAAGAAGGGCTGGATTGTAAATAGTTGGAGAACCACTGACCTAATTAATGAATCACGATTCACACTCGCACATAGACCTTATTCTACTTTTTAGGGTTGATGAGTTACAGATATGCATATTAAAGAACTTGAAACTTATTCTTATAAGGGTATAAGCGACAAAGTCCCCGTAAACATGCTATGGGATTTGTTTAGCCTTTTCCAAGAAGCAGCACTTCGCTGATCTCCCAACCACCACGTCTCCACCAGAAACTAGGCCGCACTCCACCCCCAAATACTACTCCACTTCCTCCAGACCCCCCTGCAATCCGCTCCCTGCTGTCCCCCACATCACCCTGCAGCCCATTTTCCTGCACCCCTAAATCTGCCTCCTTCTCCCCCCCATTGTCCTGCTCCCCCTCACTTGCTCCATCTACTTTTAGCACTGTCCTTAGAGATCTTCACAGTCCTTATGTCCCATCTAGCCCCCAAACAAGAGTGGCAGCCATTTTGCCTGTGGGCATGGCTTCCATCTCATTGAAAACAGTCGGAGGTGGCAGCCAGCTTTATCAAGGGCAGCCTCACTTCCACGAGCAGATGAACTGTAGGGAAACGGTAGCCATATTGCTGGCTTCAACCTTGTTGGCAGTAATAGGAGATGGTGACCAGTTGTAGTTAGGGAAAATTTGTGAGTTTTTGCCTTTCATCGTGTTTTCAGGTTGAGGTGGAGAACTGTCAGTATTGCAAACTCTAGTGATTTTAGCACGACTCTTTCATGTGGTCCAGCCACTAGAGGGAGACAGAGCCATGCTGGGTAAGGGTGGGTTACATTAGCACATCCCTTTCTTTAGACCAGGACTGTCAAGCTGTCTGGGGGGGAATTAGGAGCGTGGACAGCTCCCAAGAGACACGTCACTCACTGGAGTTGATTTGTATCCTAGATCTCACGCCAAAGATGCTGGCAGCCAAACCAATAGTAAGCTATTGACAGGTTTATTACTAAGGGTATATCTACACAGCAATCTAAGCCCAGGCTCAAGCCTTATCTCCCTTGCATCCCCACACCACTTGTGTTAACCTAGGGCTCGAAACTATGGTCCAGGACCCTGCAGGGCTGGCAGGTCTGAGCCTGTGTTAAGAGGGACCTATAGTCCAAGCCCTATTGCTTTCCTGTGTGCATGTGGCCGATTTGACTCAGGTCCCAGAAGTCCTCCGGATGTATCCCAGAGTTCCTTGGGGCAACTTCCTTCATCCTGTCTGTGCGGACAATCAGTGGTGCAATCTGTTGCACTCTATTACAAACAGAAGCCACATCGCCCTTTGCAAACTGCAGCAGCTCAGATCAGCATTAACCCATTCTCTGCTGAACAGCGGTCTGTAAGCACACTGTCAGCGAGCCTGCAGGGTTTTCAGTGGAGACTGATCAGAAGAAGGTTTTTTGCAAAGAGAGCTGCTTCCTGGTCCCAAGAGCACAGCCAGATTTTGGTGCATGCTGCCCAGATGCCCCTGCACAAACAGCCCCAGGGAGGGCAGAGCTCCTGGCTCAGCATGGCTGGGGGAGGATGACCCCTGACACCCTGGCAGTTGCCCCTCCCTACAGGACAGCCACTTGGTCCCCGCTCCGGTCTCTGGCCCCCCTGCACTCCCTGGGCTGTGTGTGCAGGGGCACCTGGGCATAATTCACTGCTAGGGCAGCGAGTGGGATCCAGCCCCAAAACTCCCCATAGCCTCCTGCGGTGGTAGCTCTGTCTCTGTCTCCTCCTCACTGCTCTGCAGAGTTCCCTGAAGCAGGGAGCAAAGCTGACAAGTGGGAGGCAGCTCCCAGCACAGGCATCAACTCCATGGGTGCTTTGGTACACAAGCACCCACAGAAAAAAAATAGAGGGTGCTCAGCAGCCACCAGCTATAATGGTTCTGGGCCCCAGGGATGGCCACTGATCACTTGCCAGGGTGGGCCCCTTTGGAGGAAAAAATAAAGTCAATGCCTGTGGCTACCAGGATGTTCGAGGTCATCCTTCCCCCAGCCATGCTGAACTGAGAGCCCTCCCTCCCCCTCCCCCTTGCAAGACAACTTCATTGTCTTCTCTCTGTCCCTTTCTCATGGGCTCCTCCTGCCCTTCCTGGGCTGTGTGTGCAGAGGTGCCCAGGCAGCGTGCACTGTGAGGGTGGTGAGTGGGAGCTAGCCTCTAAACTTCCCCACAGACTCCCGGGGATCCCTTATCCCTGCCTCCTGGGCTGCGGTGGGATGGTGGAGCACACTGCACCCCAAGTCAGTCTGGGGGGGGAGGGATAGCTCAGTGGTTTGAGCATTGGCCTGCTAAACCCAGAGTTGTGAGTTCAATCCTTGAGGGGGCCATTTAGGGATCTGGGGCAAAAATTGGGGATTGGTCCTGCTTTGAGCAGGCGGTTGGACTAGATGACCTCCTGAGGTCCCTTCCAACCCTGAGATTCTATGATTCTAAGTCCTGGGGATACACTTCACTGCTCCATCGCCAGCAGCAGCCAGGCTCCGATAGGGGTATGTTTTTCCCCTGAAACCTACATTTTATGTCAAACTTCAAAACAGACAAAAATAAATAAAAAAACAACCAGACAAAAACACCTTCATTTGAACAGCCCACTTTAAACATTAAGAATTGCAAGATTTCACTTAATAGTTTGCCAGGCCTGGAGACTGGTGTCCTAATTATCCTCAGAACAGGAGCACACAGGCATTTTCATGCCACTGTGACTCACCCTGGAGGTGCAGAGCCCAATTCTCAGATTAGATGGTAGTTCAGTATAAAGCCTTCACAAACTGCAGTCATTCTATTAAGTCAGGTTTCAGATTTACTGTATTTATACAGATTTATACTGTATTTTCCACTGCATGCATCCAATGAAGTGGGTTTTAGCCCACGAAAGCTTAGGCTCAAGTAAATTTGTTAGTCTCTAAGGTGCCACAAATACTCCTGTTCTTTCTACTAAGTCAGACACCAAAGGCGCAGGGAGAAGAGCTCAGATCCCCCAGAGGAGCAGCCCCCCCCCCAGGTCCCAGAACATCCAATGGGCAAGGAGAGGTGCTCAGGCCGTTGCAAAGGGGTAGGGCTCCCTGCACACACACAAAAGGTGAAATTTCAGGGCTGACAGGCCCCCTCACTCCTAAACCCCCAGCTGCTGCTGCCACTCACATTCTCCAACCCCTCCCATCTCCTCCTCTCCCACTCCTGCAATCCCTACCCCCTCTTACCTGAGCCTTACCTGAGCCTTCCCTGCTCCTGTTCCCATATGTCCCCCTCCCCATAATACCCCCATCCTTTGCTGCAAACTCCCCTTCCTGTATTACTATCTGCTCTTGCACCCTTAATCAGCCTTCCCTCCCCCCCCCGCAGCGAGCGGTCACATGTAATTTGTTTTCTTTTCAACAATAGTATCAGTGCCTTCTGAATATTCTGCTGTGCTTAGATGACATTTCTCCAAAATAATAATCACAAACAAAAAAAAAACCCTCAACAGAGGCAGACTTTTCCAAAATGTTGAAAGTAAATTCTTGAGATTCCTGCCCAGGGTGAGTTTCAAACTTCAGTCTTACGGACTCAGAGAAGTGTTAAGCACCCCATTAATCTCAATGAGATGTTCTCCCCATGGAGATGGACACAGCCTGAAACAAAGGCTCTAAGATGTGTGAACTGGTCCATTCGTGTCAGTGGGTGTCCCTTCCTCCCCCACCAGTGCGAGACAATTTATGATATGGGCCAAGCACAGTACCGGGTTTACAATGTCTGCCATTCTCACACTAGGAAGGGGCCCATTACGGACCTGTCTAACTCATCCACATGGCCGGGTCTGGCCCCTCGCCCAGGGCAGTCCAGCGCCCAGGCACTGCTGTGTGAGCAGCTCCCACCCAGCAGGTCCCACTCACTTGTAGGGGGCTCACCGCCCAACAGCAGGCTCAGCTATGTGGGCTGGCCAGGGCTGCTGGCCGGAGGGCGGATGGATGCGGCTGGGCAGGGTGAGCTCTTGGGGGTCACATCCCAGGGGTCTCCCCGCTCCGCAGTGCAGTTCTGGCTCCGAGCTCTGCTGCCTGCCACCTGTGGGGCCCTGCCCGCCTCCCCGGGGCCGAGCCGCCTGGGAG